ATCAGGAAGCCCCTGCACCTGGCTTGTGTCCTGGTCATAATCTCTGCTAGTTTCTCATCTCTCATCTCCTCCAGCAGACCTATCAGCCCAGCTTTGAAGAACACCTTAAGAAAGGGAACAGTGTAGCCCATCAGTCTCGGGTAGTGCACAACAGAGGCACATAGTGTTTGAATACAGGACTTGTTTCTACCTTGGTGTGACCAAATCTGTACTGAGTGTGGTCTACATCAATGGACCCAAGCAGCTTCTCAGAAGCCTTCTTGCTATCCATGAACTGACCTTCCGGAATAGCACTTGCATTAAGCACTCTGTATCTGTAGGAGAAAGCAGGATACAAAGAAATTCATGTTAGTGAAACCACCTCTATGACTGAACCCCACAGCCTTCTCAGGAACAGCGGACTCTGACTGAGTAACATCATGTATTATACATAGTTCATTCTTTCAATAAAGTGTAAGTGAACTTTTCATACTGTTAACTCAGAGCCCAAGAGAATCCCCATCATCAACAAAAAATCAACCACATTCTCACAATAAATCATGTCTATCTTACTACTTACAAACTTTTTGAACTATAATATTTCAAGTTTGATAAGATACTGTAGCTATTCAGCTTGGTCTAAACCGGTAGAAAGGTGTAGTGCTCTTACCTCTGTTTGAAGTCAGCATACAGGACTCTGCTGGGGAATCCTTTCCTGCAAATTCTGATCCCTTCCAGTACACCATTGCATCGCAGCTGATGCAGCACCAGCTCATGCTCCATGGCACCTAACAAACACCATCATTAGTGACCACCCTACTGTTTAATACTCAGGAGAGGAGCTCCTGTGACTTGATCCTCCTATTGGAACCCCTTACCAGGTGTTTTTGTTTCATTTGGGATGATGCATCGGACAAAATGGGGGTGAGTGCTGCGTAGATTTGTCATCAGCTTGTTTAAATTCTCCTGTCAGATTACAAGGTAAAGTTTAGATTAAAGCTTGTAAGCACTGCATTTTTATATATGATATGCACAAAAAGCGTGAATCTTTCAGTGTCTTGACCTATCAGAAATGCATGGTTATTTCAGTGTAAACTTCCTTCAATAAATATGAATCTCAGTCTGCTCAGAGAATTACACAGCTGTCATCTCATGGCAATTCCACTCAACTCCTTTGTTATTTCAGTGAGTATTTTCAATAATAAGGTGGTGAATTCTCCCCTTACCCGGAAAAGTGCTGAAACAGTC